CTTGCACTCATTGGCATAGGAGACAACTTCTTGAACGGAACAGAACACCAACAGCACAGGCTCTAAGAGCAACAATCAATAACTGGGACCTCATGAAGCTGAAAAGCTTCTGTAAAGCAAAGGACACTGTCGTCAGAAGAAAATGACAGCCTACAGATTGGGAAAGGATCTTCACCAACCCTATATCTGACAGAAGACTAATATCCAGAATATATAAAAAACTCAAGAAGTTAAACAGCAACAAATCGAGTAATCCAATTAAAAAATGGGGTACAGAGCCAAACAGAGAATTCTCAATAGAGGAACATTGAATGGCAGAGAAACACTTAAAGAAATGCTCAACATTCTTCTTCATCAGGGAAATAGAAATCAAAACGACCCCGAAAATAGCTAATTTCTGACAGAGATGAAGACACTCAGAGTAGAAAAAGACTGAATGTTTACTAAGCAACCAGAAAAGGCATCATGCACACAAATAAAAAGAGAAAATATAAAGATGAAGGGTGAGGGTGGGGCTTAGGCCCGAGCAGAGACTGGGAGCTATTTCTGCAAGGCCTAGGTACGGCTGAGTCCCTGTGATGACAGTTCTTGGTGGAGCAACATTATGTTGATGGTCAAAGACAGAGGAGGAGGGAATGACCTAGTTAAGAATGACTATGTCCGAAACCATGAAAGGAAGAGCACTGACCAAGCCCAGCCACATTCTATAGCCCTACTCTTTTCCTATTCAATCTGTAACGTACTCAGTACATCAAATACATGGGTCTTGGATATCTTCAGAGTTTATTTCTTGTCAAGTTTTGTGAATAGTCTGCTATTTTAATGAACCTGTATACCACATCTTATATCTAGAAGTTAAAAAGCAGACCCATTCCTACAGCTGTTTTTTTATTAAATTTTTATTTTTTTAATATTAGTTACATTTTATTAACTTTGTATCCCAGCTGTATCCCACTTCCTCATTCCCTCCCAATCCCACCATCCCTCCCTCATCTCTTCCCTACCCCTTTCCAAGTCCACTGATTGGGGAGGACCTCCTCCCATTTCATCTGACCCTAGCTTATCAGGTATCTTCAGGCCTGGCTGCAAAGTCCTCCTCTGGGGCCTAGCAGGGCTGCTCCTCCATCGGGTGGCGGGGGGTGAGGGGAAGTCAAAGAGGCAGCCATTGTATTCATGTCAGAAATAGTCCCTGTTCCCTTTACTAGGGGACCCACTTGGATATTGAGCTACCATGGGCTATATCCGAGGAGGGGTTCTAGGTTATATCCATACATGGTCCTTGGTTGGAGACACAGTCTCACAAAAGACCCTTGTGCCCAGATATGTTTGGTCCTTGTGGAGCCCCTGTCCTCTCCAGGTCATATTAACTCCCCCTTCTTTCATATGATTCCCTGCACTCTGCCGAAGGTTTGATTATGAGTTATCAGTATCTGCTTTTATACGCTGCTAGGTAGAGTCTTTCAGAGGCCCTCTGTAGTAGGCTCTTGTCCTGTTGTTTTCTCTTACAACCAATGTCCATCCCATTTGTCTTTCTAAGTGAGGGTTGATCACCTTACCCAGGGTCATCTTTCTTGTTTATCTTCTTTAGGTATACAGATTTTAGTATGTTTATCCTATCTTATAGGTCTATATAAGTGAGTATATACCATGTGTGTCTTTCTCTTTTTGGGATACCTCTTTCAGAATGATCTTTTCTAGATCCCACCATTTGCCTGCAAATTTCATGATTTCCTTGTTTTCAATTGCTGAGTAGTATTCCATTGTGTAAAAGTACCACAATTTCTGTATCCATTCCTCAACTGAGGGACATCTGTGTTGTTTCCAGGTTCTGGCTATTACAAATAAAGCTGCTACAAATATGGTTGAGCAAATGTCCTTGTTGTGTACTTGAGCATCTTTTGGATATATGCCTAGCAGTGGTATAGCTGTATCTTGAGGTAGCACTATTCCTAATTGTCTGAGAAAGCACCAGATTGATTTCCAAAGTGGTTGTAGAAGTTCCTACAGCAGTTTAATTTTTTATTTTTAAACAAGGTCTCACTATGTAGCTTTTGTGGGTCCAGAACTTGCTATATAGATCAGGCTATTCTCAGATTCTCAAATATCTGCCCACCTCTGCTTCCCGAGTGCTGAGATTAAAGGTGAGTACCTCCGTGCTTGGCAACACCCTTCTTCCCCATAGGGAAGTAAGAGGCTGCAACCCGGGGACTGCTAAAGCTCCTAGGAGATGGAGGCTTTCCAGACCCGCATTTGCTGGAGCAGGAGTGGGTGGCAGGTCAGTTTTGGGATGCAGTTTGGTGCTCAGGGCTGGGATGAGCTCTTTTTCTCCCGTGGTTCTGACAGACACTTAGACACAGCCAAATTACAGCCAGTTACAGAAGTCAGGAGTTCTTGCACTCATCCTGCAAAGGGTAATTGATCCAACAGATTCTGTGTGGTTATGTACAACATTGGCATGGTCTTACACTGTGAAAGAAAATAATCAGAAAGGAATCCAGATCAGTCACTGTGACTGGTGATGCTTTGCCTCCCCCATGAACCAGGGGTCTGTTGGCTGCTCCACCCTCCTTCCATTTCATATCCTCTATGGTTTCAAATTTTTACCCTGTGGGGAATACATCGGATCCTTGGAATGTCTTGCCTGAGGTAGAACACAAGACCTAGGGAGATAGGGCTAAAGGAGGAGTTATCAGCTAGCAGAGCTCTTCCATGCACGTCACCCACCCCACCAGAGAACTGGCATCCTAATCATATCTGGGGCTTCTTCCACTTGCGGGAAGAAAACAACCCATGAAAGGCTAGGGGAGCAGCAGGGCCACTAGGATGTGAAAAAGAAATCCTAGTCCTGACACCAGGGACTTTCAGAGCTCTGACTGCAGATCCAAAGAGGAATGAAGAAGCAAGCGGCATGATGTGCAACCGCCCTCCTGGAGTCTCCTCAGAGGGACTTTCTCCTCTGACCTCTGGCTGCTGGGAATCAGGCTCCCAGTATACAGAGCAACAAATGTGTCCTGCACTTTTCTGTGTTATTTATGGTAGAGTGTCTGTACGCGGGTCCCAGTGTGCACATGCTTTCGATGTGGCCATGACATCCTGGTCTGCCGGCCATAGCGCTGATAGACGCCGCCGATGCCACGGCTCTAACCCTGAGCAGTTATTTATTCTACTGGGTGCACGTGTGTGTGTGTGTGTGTGTGTGTGTGTGTGTGAGAGAGAGAGAGAGAGAGAGAGAGAGAGAGAGAGAGAGAGAGTGCACATGCAACGTGAAGTTACAGGAGGTTGTGAGCCTCCCAGTGTGGCACAGGAAAACAAACCACAGACCTTTGCAAGACAGCAAGCACTCTCAGCCACAGAGCCAGCTCTCCAGACCGAACACTGAACATTTTTGAGGATTTAGAACTTCATGTCTGAAGAAGCTGGTGAAGTCTGTGGTTTGTTGGCAAACAAATTTGTGCATAGAGGATGTCCTGGCTGATTTTGTGTTTACTTATCACAAGCTAGAGTCATCTAGGAGGAGAGAACTTCAGTTGCGACAATGCCTCCATAAGGCCTACCAGTAGGCAAGCCTGTAGGGCATTTTCTTAGTAATTGATAGGGGAAGGCCCAGTCTTAGGTGCCATAGGAAAGCTGACTGAGCAAGTCATCAGGAGTAAGTCAGTAAGCAGCACTGTTCCTTGGCCTATGTGTCATCTCTTACCTGCCCTGTTTGAGTTCCTGTCCTTACTGCTTTTGAGGATGAACTGTTGTATAGAAGTCTGAGTGCAATAAACCCTTTCCTCCCCAAGTTGCTTTTGGTCATGGTGTTTCTCATAGCAATAGAAACCCTAACTAAAACAGGATATGAAAGAACATATGGAACAGTGCTTCCCTCTACAGTCTATGCTAACTACGAGCGCCTATAGACAAGCACCTGCAGAATGGCCTCTACACATGTGATGTTTGCAGTTAGCATAAACAAGTACAAATAGTGTTCACCTGGTGTGGTGTCTTCATCTTTGACCACGTGGAGGCCAGTTTGTGGGAAGAACATTCTGCACTCTGTCTGCCCCATCCATAGTTCACAGGTTTCCTACGTGAACTCCTCTACACTATGATGTAATCCTTCAAAGTATAATTGACAGTCACTAAAGCCCACAAGCGCTATGGACTGTATTCATGAACCATCCCTGATCTAGCCCTGTGATACATTTTTTCCACATCAATTTTAGTTTATTTAAAATCCTTAGAGTTATATATAAATGTTGTTTATTCTATTCTTACATTATTCTTAAAAATGGAGGTTCAAATTGTGTAAAGGGTTTTCTAAGGGTTTTAATTCACTTTACACATTTGGTGAAATCGAGTCTGTGAAAATGCATCACAGCGTGGACTCTGTGAGCATGGTGCAAATATGAAAGACGGAAACATTGTCAGTAAGTGGAAATGTCCTTTTTGTATGTCTGCATGTTTATAAGGCAAAATTTATCAATTCTTGGGTCTTCTGGTGACTAGATATTGGTGGTACTCCACTATGGATTTTGATTAACTTTCTCAGAAGACTTACTTCAGACAACTGCAGATGTAACACTCCTTGCACACAACTGACAATGATAGGAATATGTGTGTGTGTATATATATATATTTGTTGTTGCTGTTGTTGTTGTCCACCTAGGTCTTTGTGAATATGGCTCATCTGCTCACAGTGCTCCATCAGTGTGACTTTTATTAATGTATCTGAGTCCACAGACATGCAAATGCTTATACTATTACTGATTTTTGCTGAGTAAAGAGGCCCCTGTTCTGTTATGCTTTTATGTTTGTTTCTTTTTTTAACTAACTAGTCCTTTAAATGTAACTTAATGTTTTTGGCTAAATTAAAAAAATAGTATATTTGGGGGATTTTGATCTTTTGATATTTAAATACTTGTGATTATGGCATTCAAAATTGTTCCTTTGGGAATAACGGGCCACACTCCTTCCCAGCAAGGAGGCAGAGAAAACTATCTGGGGCTTAGAGTTCCTCAGTTGGAAAGAAAACTTAGGTTTCCCCTTTCCCTACCTGAGGTCTTCCTCCACATTACAACAGCAGCCACGGAAGCTCCCAGGAGAATCAGGCCAACAGCCACTACTATGATGGGGATGAAAGACTGGGGAGGTCTGCCTGGAAAGAAATGAAAAATGTAGGCCCCTGGCTCCACATTTCAACCTTGACCCCGCTCAGGGTCTCTAGAAGGGCTTCTGCTTTCCCTGACAATAGATTGTGTGCCAACACCCTACTTACTCCATCTTAGGGTGAGGGGCTCAGGCAGCCCCTCATGCTGCACATTACACACATATCTCTGCTCTTCTCCGGGAGGCACCACCACAGCGGCCCACTTCTGGAAGGTACCATCCCCTGAAGGCCTGGTCTCCACAAGCCCCGTGTCCTGGGTCAGGTCTTCCCCATCCCTCTGCCAGGTTAGGGTGATGTCAGCAGGGTAGAAGCCCAGGGCCCAGCACCTCAGGGTGACATCTCCTCCAGGTCTGGGGTGATGGGTCACATGTGCCTCTGGGGGATCTGAAAGGAAAGTTGGAAAATTTGCACATTAACATTTTTTTCCTTGGGATTCGGTGGTATTCTTGTGATCATTTTGGGAGCAGACAGGAAAATAGCATGTAGGAGACTCTAGGTTACCAGGCACACACACACACACACACACACCTTTTGTTCTGACTGAGCGGGGCCGAGACTCTACATGACAGCTGCAGACATACCATACCACTGTGTGGAGGCAGAGAATCTAACCTGAGACAGGCCATGGCTCACAACGGACTGCAGATGGAAGGGAATGACAATTTAGAGATCTTTTCTCCTATCCTGAGACAGAATCTTAACTGAGACTTTGAGAGAAGAGTGAGCCCTCTGACGAGCCATACTCTGATGTTGGCCAGGAAACCCAGGGTCACTCTTCCCTCTCCGTGTGTGTGTGTGTGTGTGTGTGTGTGTGTGTGTGTGTAGAGAGAGAGAGAGAGACAAAGAGAGACAGAGACAAAGAAACAGAGAGACAGAGAAACAAATAGAGATAGAGAGACAAAGTCAGAGAGACAGTGAGACACACGCAGAGACAGACACAGACAGACACACGGAATTCCAGTTGATCTCATTGCCCCCTCCCTTCTTCTCAGGAGATGTGGGCTCCAGCTCATTAGGAGGAATTGCTTCTTTGCCCCTCCTACCTGCATGCAGCAGAGTCTCATTTCCCATCTCCAGGTACTTAAGGAGCCACACAACGCAAGGGCCCTGCAGGTAGACCCTCCAGTGTTCAGCCATATCTTCTGCCTCCCACTCACGCCGGGTTATCTCAGCTGCCTTGTCTGCCGCAGTCCAGGTGCTCAGGTCCTCGTTCAGGGTGAGATAATCTTGCCCATCATAGCCAAACTGACGGTATGCGTGAAGTAGGTGCCCATCTGGTCCAATGTAGCAGCCAGTCATCCTCTGGATGGTGTGAGAACCTGGCCCCATCCCACAAGTCAGTCTCAACCCCTTGGCCCAGTCCTTTCATCCTCCCTACCCATCCAACCATGTTTGGACCTAAACTGAGAACCACAAAGGACTCAGTCCTCTCAGCTCTTCTTGGTCAAGGTTATCTGTGGTCTCAGCCTTGGGCTGAACCTTGGACCTGGCTATGTGGGGATGTAGAAAAGGCTTGGCCACCACCTGAGTTCAGGGTCACTTACTGTTCGTGCTCTGATTGAAGTAGCCTCTCAGTTTCGGAAAGTATGCTCGAATCTGCTGCTCTGCGACTTCGGCAACACGTGTCTGGTCATCCCAGTACTTCTGTCCCACCTGCTCCATCCAGGGCACTCGGGGCTCGAACCTTGGATTTGCTGCCTCATTGTTGAAGCGCACAAACTCTGTGTCGTCCACAAACCCAATAGTCCTGTAGAAGGTCTCCTCGAGGCCAGGCCTTGACACCACGATGTCGAAGTACCGCAAGGAGTGGGAACCTGAAGGAAGCAAGGGGCTGGTGTCTGACTTGACCTTCCTCCCAGGGCAGGCAGTGGAAGGGAAACAGGAGGTTCAGGGCTCAAGGGAGTCTGGGTGTGGCCAGCCCAGCTGGAAGAGTGTGGCTGGATAGGCTTCCTAGGTGCTCTTCTTGTAAAAGATTTTCCCTCAAGACCTGTACTCACGTTTAAAGGTCTGGGTCAGCACAAGGGAAGTCCCCAGCAGCAGGTAGAGAGTGAGGAATGCTGAAGACTCCATTCTCTGGATTTGGAGAGAGTCAGTCCCTGTAGGTCTGTGGTGACTACATAACAGGGAACTTTAACAGCAGTTCTCTGGGAACCTGATATCCAATCAGAATGAGAATTGGAGCTAGTCATCAGTGTCCACGCAGAAGATCTTTATTTGGTTTACAAAAAAAGAAGGGAAACTCCAGGGCTGTGAGGAATCCCCTTTCTGGGATATCTGAAGGGACTGCAGGAGCCTCTGCTGTGACCCTGGGCCTTCAGCTAGACCCTAACATGCATCCAGTGCTCGCTGTTACCCCGTTTCGTAAGTCTTGCTGAGGTGTCTGTGCACGGCTTTAAGAATGAGGGTGAGCTCCTAACTGTGGTTTGTCTCTATCACTATTTTAACATTACAAGTACAACCTTAAAGAATAATTCTCTTGGGCTGGAGAGATGGCTCAGCTGTTAAGAGCACTGACTGCTCTTTCAGAGGACCAGGTTCAACTCCCAGCACCCACATGGCGGCTCACAACTGTCTGTGACTCCTGTGCCAGGGGTCTGACACATGGACATACATGAAAGCAAAGCACCAACGCATATAAAATACAAATAAATACATTATTAAAATAATTCACTTAAGAGGTTTTAGTAATAATGTATTATAAGAATAGTTTTATGAAAGAACTATTACCCAAAATATACTGAGAAGAATTGATTTTTTTTTTTTTTTGTTACATGCTACAATTTGGCATGTCTTTCATTACTGGAGTTTTATATATACTTCTGCCTTTAACCTGTTATGTTACAAGTTAAAGTATATGAAAAAAATCGGTAAAAACAGTATGTGTGGGGAACTGTTTTTAATAATGTGCATGTTCGCCTTTGTTGTGACAATGAAAGGACACCAATGTTAATTCTTCAAGGCTATTCGCAATGCAGTCTCAAATACTGCCATCTGAGTCTGTGCAGGAAAGAAGGTGCTCACAGACACCCAGAGTCTGAAACAGAATGTGAGGTGTGCATTGTGTGGAAGTGTAAGGGAGGGAAGCAGTGCAAAGGAAACACAGGGAAGGTGGAATTCAGATACACTGACCCTGTGATTTGTTAAAGAATACAAGACACAGCCACACCACTCCTGGGTATACACCCAAAAGATGCTCCACCATACAACAAGGACATTTGCTTAATCATGTTCATAGCAGCTTTATTAGTAATAGCCAGAAACTAGAAACAACCTAGATGTCCCTCAACATAAAATGGATACAGAAATTGTGGCACATTTACACAATGGAATACTACTCAGCCATTAAAAACAAGGAGATCATGAAATTTGCAGGCAAATAGATGGAACTAAAAAAGATCATGATGAGTGAGGTAACACAGACCCAGAAAGACACATATGGTATATGCTCACTTATAAGCAGGTATCAGTCATAGAACACAGGATAGACATACTACAATGTACAGACCCCAAGGAGACAAGCCCGATGGATATCTTAGGCTTCAAGTGGGCTCCCGAGGTACGGGAGTGGGGGACATCTCTGACAGGGACTATATTGCCTGATTTTTTTCTGCCACTTCCTCCTAATGGAACTTCCCTACCAGGCCACAGGAAAGGAAGATGAATGCAGCCCTCATGTAAATAGAAGAGGAGCTGTGGTGTCTGGGTAGGGGAATCCCCTATTCTGAAGAACAGGGAAGAGGGGATGTGGTAGGGAGGGTGGGAATGAGAGGAGAGGAGCATGGGGCCTATGACCAAGATGTAAACTGAATTAATTAATCAAAAATAAAATAAAAGAATACAATATACCTTGACACCAAGCAGTAGGCAAAAGCAGAAGAGAAGGGAGCTGGCATACCTTGGAAAGGCTTTTCGTCAGATAGAAAGGGAAACTATTTCTAAATTCTGTAGGTACAATATTTGAGACTCTGAAAAAATATGGTTTAAGATATGGACATCCAACAGACACTGGCAAGGCACCCTCCACACCTCTAGTGTGTTCACAGCTAGTCTGGTGGGAATCATCTTCAAAGATTGTAAAGTCAATCCTTTTGGCCATGAAGAGCAGAAGCCTGTGCATTTTTGTCTTGAAACCATACATGCCTCCAGTCCATAAGCAAGTGAACACCCCCCACGAAGCATTGTGTTCACTGACTTGGACACAGATTCGCAGACACCTGTGAGGGGGAGTGGGCAGTCCGTAGGAGAAGCTAAGGATGAAGCAACATGGAAAGGCTGCTACACCCCCGGGAAAAAGAACTGTTAGCTGTATTTGAAGAGTGATGGTGGCGGGATCAAGCAGGTAAATTCAGTGCCTCTGCCTTGTGAACCAGGAAAGATCACCTCCATTTTGTTTCTTTCTGTACTCTCAGAATCCTAGAAAATATTTATTGGAAACTCACTTGTTCGGGAATTTCCTATGCCTACACTCTTAATGGTATGTTCCTGTTAGTATGTGGGATCTGAGAGTGGGTGATTCATGAGAGAAAGTGGAAGGTAACTTGTGAGGTTGTAGCATTGCTGAAGGAATTAAACCCAATAATAGTAATCTGTCACCAGCAGCAGACAATACACCCTGACAGGAAAGTGGGAGGACCACCCCCCCACACACACACACACAAAGGTCCTTCTTATCCAACCTGTTAAGTCTTCAGAGGAAAAATAACTTCATGTTTCCCTTCCTGCTTCTGTAAAAGTAAGCTATAACAAAGGGCACATGACAAACCTATAGACAACATTATATGAAAGGAGAACAACATAAAAGCATTATCTCTAAAATCAAGGATAAGACAAGGTGTACTTCCCATGCTTATTTAAGATAAAGCTTGAGGTTGAGGCTAGGGCAATAGTGCAAAAGAAAAAAGGAAAATACAAATAGAATTCAAATACAGATTATCCTAATCTGTAGATAACATGAGTTTATGCATAGCCAATCCTAATGACTTTGCTAAAGCACTCATAAATGCTTTAGGCATAGCAGGTGGCATGCAATCAACATACAAAAATAGCTCTCAATATACCAGTAATAAATTTGCTGACAAATAAATCATGGAAAATATTTCATTTACAGTGTCTTCTAAAAGCTGAAACATGTAAGAATGAACCTAATGAAGGAAGGGAAAGACCTCTACAAAGAAAATGTTAATATACTGGAGCAAGAAACTGAAGTAGACACTACTAAATAGAATGTTCATAGGTTGGCAGAATTAATGTAGAAAAATGGATATATTACCAAAATTGTAATGATGTTTTTAACCAAACCATAAAAACAATCCCAAAATCCATACAGAAACACTAAAGACTCAAAGAACCAAAAGAATTCTAAACAGAAATACAATTCTGGAGGTATTACTATACTTGATCTCAAATTATATTACAGAGCCACCAGTACAGACACAGCATGATACTAGCAAAAACCACATTGGAACAGTGAAATAGAATTGAGAACACAGAAATACACTCAAACAGATAGGGTAATATAATTTTTGATGGAGATAAAAACGTGTTGGAGAAAGCTGTTTAACATATGAAGGATGGGAGTTTGAATTTCTTCACATAAAAACAACTAAATCCATATCTCACACTCTTAATGGAAATAATTTCAGAATGGAACAGTGATCAGATTGGAACAATGTAAGACCCAAAGCTTTGAAACTGTTAGAGAAAAGCATCAGGAAAAAATGCTTCAAGTTTTCTGAAAAAAGACAGTAGTAATATATTTTTAAAATTCCAAGAATTGGCAAATGGAATTACATGAAATGAGAGACCTTCAATATAGCAATAATAACTATCACAGAATGAAAAAAGTCTATAATACAGAAGACTCTATATTAGACAGAGAATGATAGATAGCATATATAAGGAACTGCAAAGTTAAAACCACCCATTTGCAACTGTGCAATCAATAAACAAGTTAATGAGCTGAACAGGAGTTCTTAAAAGAGAAAATAAAAGTGGGCAAGATACTTGAAGCAGTGCTTCAAATACGTATCCTGGGAAATAACCATTTAGGATTGTTTTGAGATTCCATCTTGCCCCAGTCAGAATGGTCATCATAAAATATATGACAATAAATGTTGGTGTCAGTATTATAAACTAGGGCAGACACTATGGAAATTATTATGGAAATATCTCAAAAAGCTAAATATAGGACTCCTATATGACCCACCATATGTCTCTTAAGTATATGTCAGAGGAATTTAAGGTAGCATACCAGATATTTACATGTGTTTGTTTTTCTTTTGCTACTCTTCTAAAATAGCTATGAAGTAAAACCAGCTTAGATTATGTCAACAGATGAGTGAGTGGAGTAAGTATGGTAGATATACACAGACTTTTTACTTGAAATGAAATTACAGCATTTGTAGAAATGTGTTTAGAACCAGAAATCATCATGTGATTCCCTCTCTCTCTGTCTCCCTCTCTCTCTCTCTCTCTACACACACACACACACACACACACACACACACACACACACACACAGCATGCACACACATGTCACAGAAGTATAAAGGAGATTGTGAGACAGAAGAACATTTTCTTAAAGGAGAAGGAAAGAGGTGAGAGTTGGTAATAGATTACATGTGACATGAGTATGGAAGGTGAGATGATTTTTGTAGAGAGGAAGTAGATCAGCAGCTTGTGGCTTTGGGTATGAGGGAAGGGAGTGTAGGAGGGATGATAAAGGGGAACAAATGTGACACGTGTTTCAAAATGTAAGAATGAATCAATCATTTCCATGCTATCCTAAAACATTAATAAAAAAGAACAAAACCTAGAATCAATAGGGACAGCAAAAGAAAAAAATGAAAGAAAAGAATAACCAAAGAAATAGAGACTTTCTGGACAGTGGTGGAGCATGACTTTAGTCCCAGCCCTTGGGAGGCAAATGGATCTCAAGGCCAGCTTGGTCTATAGAGAGAGTTCCAGGACAGCCAGGACTACATAGAGAAACCTTGTCTCAAAAAAAAAAAAAAAAAAAAAAAAAAAGATCATCTAGGCTGTTTCCAGATTCTGGCTATTATGAATAAAGC